GGATTACTACAAGTGGGATAGAAGTAAAGATAAGTCTTTACGCCGACGACATAACACTGCTTCTAAATGATAAGCAGTCTAGCGTACAAGCGTTGCAGACTATAGAAAATTTTGGCAAAGCTTCAGGGCTACAGCTTAATTCTGACAAATGTCACGCAATGTGGCTAGGTAAGGAAAAGGAAAGGAGAGATCCAATAGGAAGGATACAAGCAGCTCGCGAAATAAAAATCTTGGGAGCGTGGTTTAGCGCGTCAGAGAATTGTTTAAGAAAAAATACTGAGCCCGTTACAGAAAAGATTGAAAAAACAATTAATATCTGGAGCCAAAGAACTATCACCATTAAAGGCAGAATAACAATTGCCAGAACATTACTTGCCTCGCAATTAGTCTACCTCAGTGCTTTTACGAAAGTTCCAAGAAGAATGATGTGTAGAATACAAAGTAAAATCATGAAATTTGTGTGGCGAGGTAGGCCACCAAAAGTAGCCAAAGATACACTGGTTCAAGAGATCGAACATGGAGGGCTAAGACAAATAGACATAGAGGCGTTTATGATATCGCTAAGAAGTGCATGGATTCGACGTATGTACACAAATCAGTCATCAGCTTGGTGTGTGATATTGCAGGCAAGGATTGGTGATATGAGCGTTCGTGATTTAATCAGAAGCAGTTTAAGCATAAGAGACATCAAAAGAATGAACATCCCACATTTTTATAAAGATGTTTTAACCCTATATCAGGACTACAAATGCAAGGAGGTAGAAAGCGTCAAGTCGATACAGATGGAAATGATATGGTACAACCGAAATATTCAAGTGCACAGAAAGACAATATTTATTCCATGCTTATACAGGCACGGAATTAAGTTTGTTGGTGACATAACAAGAGAAAATGGCTCCTTTATGAGCCTGCAAAATTTAAAAGAAAAACTGCCTTCTCTGCGATTAGACTTCCTAACATATGAAACGATACTGCGAGCAATTCCAAATCACTGGAAAACGATCCTTACAAATACAGCGGTCAGAACCTTGTCCCCTGAAGAAAGAAACGAAGATCCCATCATTCGTGTGAACGATCGCGAAATACGCATAACCGAAGTACGCCCCCGTCATTTATACAGATACGGAATGCCTTGTAAAAAGCCAAAGGCGGTTAAAAGGTGGGAGGAAAGAGGATATGACAGTATGGATTGGGAAAAGTTGTTCAAAATTCCGTATCAATGTACCAAATCGACTCAGTTGCAGTCTTTCCAATATAGAGTATTGAACAGATACATTCCGACGAGAAGATATTTATGCATTAGACAATTGATCGACAGCCCTTTATGTCAAGAATGTGGCTCGCAAGATGATTTGGAGCACTTCTTTTACGAATGTTTCACTGTTCACCATATCTGGGATAAAGTTTTTGAGGGTCTAGGTATGTCTGAACACAATAACGTAAAACATGTGCTTTTTGGAATAGAAGAGGGCCGTAATGCAGTAAATCTTATAATCCTGCTTATCAAACAATACATCGCTAATTGTAAGCTACGGCACAATCAGATAAAACCATCCTACGAAGGGGCTCGAGCCACGGTTGTTCATCAAGTGAGGGTAGAAAAACATGCAGCATTTGTCAGTGACACCCTTAAAGCCTTTATTGAAAAGTGGCAAAACATATTCTTGTGCAGGGACATACATAGCATGGTGATGAATCGGTAAATAAGGATTACGATGCGTTTCAATCGGCACAGACGATCGCACAGTGCATCCTTTTGTAGTATGCATTGCTTAGTATGCTCCTCGCGCATCATGTGTATCTTGTATCTTGTGCTATGCATGTGAGTTGAGTGAGCTGTTGCTGATAAAATAAGCAGCATATGCGCACTGCCCGCCCCTAACCCAACCCGGCTAACCGGAGGCCGGCACTATTAAGGGTCGGCCGGCCGGCCGGGCGCGCGGCTCGCCAACCTATCAGGGTGACGGGTCGCGGGCCCGGCCGGCGGCCTGGGGCATCGCCCCAGCGAGGACGGGCATGTGTGTCAATCGCGGGGCGATGCGGGGCGGGGCAGGAAGGCATAGGTGTATTAAACGCAAATGGAAAGTGAAACAATAAGGTGTAAGTGTGCAAATATCGTGTGATTGTGAAAATATATGAACAAGTTGGAAAAAAAAAAGTTAGCAATTAACTCCAGACAAAACCGTTACAGATTGTATAACCATCGTGACTGAAAAAGCATTACCAATTCTCGGCTCGTTTTGAAATAGAAACAGAAGCATTCAATGGAGCAAAGCGGAGTCTCTGCGCTGTTCTCAATTTTCGGTACCTGCTATCTCACCACCAGCCACACTACCCCTCCTCTTTCCCTGCTTCCACAGCCCCGGCGGTTGGTGAGAACAACACTCCCCTCTCACCCTGACCGGTGAGACAGCTCGCTCTCTCACCGGCTCGCCTCGGCGCTCCGTAAAGCCCGCCTCACACCGGACCTGAAGCAGAACGCCTCTCTAAACACGTGCGCCCTGCGAAACACACGCGCGCTGTGAAATGCCCGAGTGTTTTGAAATAAATGCTGGCAATCTCCTGTCTAGTTGCAGACTGAGCCCTTTTCGCAATCAGGGGTACATCACTTATGAGAAAATGCTGAATATAGCTGTGCGCTTTTATCCTATTTCTAATTAGTTACTGGCATATTCACCAGCTGTTTTACTAATTTGAGCACGAAATACTTGCCCTATTTTCTAGCACACATACGGCAGGCCCCAAGGGCCAAAGAGTCACGGTCACACTGACGTCAAAGCGGTGTGGTCTCGGCGGCGCATCCTCTGACCACCCACACCAGGGCGAGGTCGTCACCAAGGGACGCGTGCCGTGACGGAGCGGCGCTCTAGAGGAGTAACGCCGTGACGGCCGAGGTTACACCACTGACACCCGCGGCCAGAGGCGTCACGGGAGCCGGCGTGACGTGACGGGTACACAGGGCGACACCTTCACACCCCTGGCAGACCAGAATGGGACGTCTGCCGTGCCAGACGGCCGACTGGGCACGGGGCGCCGGGAGGATACACACTGGCGCGGTGCACTGGGAGATATACCGGAGCAGTGCACTGGAGGATATACCGGCGCGGTATACTGGGAGCATATAATATTGGTACGGTACACTGGAAAATTTATGTTGACGCGGTGCACTGGGGATATGCTGGTATACGGTACACTGGGAATATATGCTGGCGGAGTGCACTGCGGTTGGGTGGGTGGGTGGGGGGAGGGGTATACTTAAAGGGTGCAATGCTAGACTGGTCACCTGGGACGGTGGTCCGTCCCCAGGCAGGTATCAGGTGACCGGTGCCCACTGACCGGTGACCAGTGTCAGGTGACAGGTGTCCAGTGACCGGTGACCAGTGACCAGCGACCGATGACCTGTGGTGGGTGTCCCACTCCAGTAGCTGAGCGGTGACAGGGTGGTGAGGTTGACAAGGTGGTGAGGTGGACAGGGTGGTGAGGTGGACAGGGTGGTGTGAGGTGGACAGGGTGGTGAGGTGGACAGGGTGGTGAGGTGGACAGGGTGGTGAGGTGGACAGGGTAGTGAGGTGGACAGGGTGGTGAGGTGGACAGGGTGGTGACTGGTGAGGTGGACAGGGTGGTGAGGTGGACCGGGTGGTGAGGTGGACAGGGTGGTGAGGTGGTCACTGGACAGGGTGGTGAGGTGGACAGGGTGGTGAGGTGGACAGGGTGGTGAGGTGGACAGGGTGGTGAGGTGGACAGGGTGGTGAGGTGGACAGGGTGGTGAGGTGGACAGGGTGGTGAGGTGAGGTGGACAGCTGTGAGGTGGACAGGGTGGTGAGGTGGACAGGGTGGTGAGGTGGACAGGGTGGTGAGGTGGACAGGGTGGTGAGGTGGACAGGGTGGTGAGGTGGACAGGGTGGTGAGGTGGACAGCTGTTTCGCCGCGGGTCACCACAAACAGTTGAGGAACCAGAGACCCCCCCCCCCTCCCAAGCTGGCCAGAGGGTCTCGTCGCGGCGCGCGGTCAGCGGTCCTCCATTCAGCAGTGCTCGCTGTGCTAACTAGACTTTCCAGTAGGTATTATCTGCGGCGCGCTGAAATCCAGGTGACTCGGAGCTTTTCCGCTTCCGGTGCCGTATTGGCAACGCTCGTGCTTCGTCCATTTCATGACGCTTTAGTCGACCTCTCACATCTATTATTTGTTTCACTCAGAAAGAGAAAACACAATCTGTTGTGACTCAGTGCACTTCCCTTCCAGAAAGCTTATTTTGCATGCCTTAAATGCGCTCAGATCAGACCGTGTGCAGTTCACCTCATGCAATCAGCTCCATGTGTCGTGAATAAACAATGCACCTCAGATATGATTTGTATCGCGCGAGATACCTCATTTCGTTTGCGTGGACTGTTCTGACTCCATTTGCGTTGACAGGGCACGGTCGGCTGAGGACGGCCGCCGCTGCACGGACGGCTGACAGGAGACGGCGGGCGGCGGCCGGCTGCCGGCGCCGCCGCGCGTGACGCCGCTTTGTCCAGCCGTCGAGCCCGTTGCGTGGCCGGCGCGGCGGCGGCAGCTCGAGCGAGACGGCTCCTTGCGACACCGCGGACAGAGGGACGGACACATGTGGGCCGGCGCGGCGGCCGAGCGCCAGTCGCGCGCCGAGACCACCCGGTACGGAGCGCTGCCGGCAGAGCTGCTCGGCACCATCCCGCGCCGCGTGCTGCTCCAGCAGGCCGACTGGCCCGGCCGGCGGGTGCGCCGCGCGCTCCGACACCGGCGCACCGTCTGCCTCACTGCCGAGGAGCTGGCCGAGCCGGACGACAGCGCCGACAGCCGCTCGCCGCCGCGCAGTGTCAGCCCGGACCTGAGCTGTCGCACGGCCGCCGTCCGGGACAAGATCCGCAGCTGGAACCGGCTGGCAGAGGCGGCTCTCTCGGCGCGGCCGCCGTCCCCGCCGCGGGCGCGGCTGCGGAAGCGGCACACCATCTGTGGCGCGCGGCCCGCTCGGCCGGCGCGGCCGCGGGCGCCGCCGACGGCCATGGGCGGCGGCCCGGGCGGGGGCGGCGGCGGCGGTGGCGGCGCGCCGACCGTGCTCCTCCAGACGTGGGAGGCGCGCCGTAACTCTGGCGGCGCTCGGTCGGCGCCCGGCTCTCCGCCGGTCTCCAGTGACGAGGAGGGCGGCTCGCAGTGGTCGGAGGCCGACTCGGACCGCAGTCCGCCCGAGGTGGAGGTGTTCTCGGTGGCCACACAGACCCACTACGTCAGCAAGGACGTGCGCCGCGTGCCGGTAGCCGCCAATGAGGTGTACATGGTGCGCGTGTGCGAGCCGCCGCCGTCTCCGGGGGACGCCGCCGGCGCCGCGCCCATCCCCGTCATCTACGACCCGGCGCGGCCCAAACACACCCTGCAAGGTGAGGGCTAGGTCAACCGCGCCGCCGCCGCGCTCACAATCGTATATCGGGGGGACTCTGGGCATATTTCAAGCAAATTACACGGTAAAAATTATTCACTAAGCATGTTGGACTGTTGGCAAACACCTTCCGTAAAATTTTGTGCATTTTAAAGCGATTCTTTTTGCAATGCATGAATCCTTACAATCTAACTATTCGCTGACTTGTCTTCTGTCACCATTTGTTAGGGATTTGTTTCATTCACTCTTGATTTAGCCCTGCACTACGAGCATAAATTTAGGCATGAAAGCCTATTTATTCATTTATGACAAGTGATTGCATGCTACAAATGATGTTCACAAATTAGCTGAAATTGACAAATAACAAATATGTTATCACCATTCTGAACTCCAGCTTATAACGATTCACTCAGTAAGGCACCGAAGCTAATAAAAACAAGTGGCAAGCTTTCAATAAAGAATAACCAGCATTTGAAAGTCAGGCAGCATCAAAAAGTGACTGGAATGGTGGAATGGTGAATGGTGACTGAAAAGTTTGTGGCAAATTACCATGTATCGCACCAGTGAAACATAGCCGAAACGCTCGGTGAGGTGCTCCGTGTGCTATTCTGAGTCACCCTGGGACGGCTGAGTCACCGTGGGTAGTCACCCTGGGACGGCTGAGTCACCGTGGGTAGTCACCCTGAGGCGGCTGAGTCACCGTGGGTAGTCACCCTGAGGCCGCCCGTGTCCGTCGTGTGCCCAGCTGTGGTAGTAGTTTAGTCCGCTCCACGGCGGCAGCCGCACACCGGCATCCGGCCGGCCCCAGACCCCTCCAGACCCTCCGGCCAGCCCAGACTTCCATACAGTCTCCGATCAGCGCGGGTCTGAGCTCGGGCCGCGGGCCGACCCTCTGTCCAGCGCCGGTCTGAAGAGCCCCAGACCCGTCCAGACCCTCCAGCCAGCGCCGGTCTGAGATCAGACCACGGGCCGTCTCTCTCACCACCGCGCCAGTCTGAGTCCGGGCCGCACACAGACCCTCCCAGACCGCACACAGACGGCACACAGACCCTCCCAGATTGCACACAGACCCTCCCAGACTGCACGTATGTACACAGACCCTCTCCACACAGACCCTCCTGGGCCGCACACAGACACTCCCAGGCCGCACAAAGACCCTCCCAGACCCTCCTAGGCCGCACACAGACCGCCAGCCCTCCCAGGCTGCACACAGACCCTCCCAGACTGCACACAGACCCTCCCAGGCCCGCCTGGTGCCAGTCTGAGTCCAGGCCGTGGACAGAAAACCAGCGAGTCGTACTTCCTGTCCTGGGCAGATTCCCGTCCGTCCGGCAGTCCGGCTCGCTGACCGGAGCTGAGCTCCCGGCCGCGCAGGTCTGTCCGTCCGTCCGTCCGTCCGTCCGTTCGACCGTCCGTCCGTCCGTCCGTCCGTCCGTCCGTCCGTCCGTCCGTCCGTCCGGCCGTCCGGCTCGCTGACCGGAGCTGAGCTCCCGGCCGCGCACGCCGCACAATGGACCGGACACTCCTTTGTTCAGAGCTGTGTCCGAAATACAAAACAAAACCACCGGTTAGCGGCTGATCGCCAGCATCACAGTACGTCGCTGGATTATACATAGTTATGGAGAACGGCAATGTTAGGTATCCTGCTGCTTTGGATATCCGTTTCTGATGACTGATCAGCAAAAGCAGCAGTTTCGTGTCGTATTTGCCAGTCAGCGGAACCGTTCTTGTAGGATAACTGTAGTACGAAGTTTTTGTTTCGTCCATGCCACCTCTGTTATTGCGGAAACGAGCCGATTGTCACGAGCTCTGTCACTACAGCGCTGGCTGCGACAGCCTTTGTTTTTAAAGTCGCAGTTTGTGGGACAACTTTCGCTGCTTAGAGGCCAGCGGAATGACCTATGACAGACCTGCACGGCGGGCAATTCTGACGCTGAGCGCCTGTTGACGGATGTGTCTGGACTGTCACATTGGCCGTTTTCACGACGGAACTTTCGCAGAGGAACTTATTTGATACCTAAAAAGTACCTACCCTTAGAGGCCTTAACATCCCTCAAACTGAAATATTTTATGTTCAAAATAATTTTAGAAGTTTAAATCCGGGCATTTTTTGCCCTCAAATCACTTATTTATTTACAAACACAGCAATTTTTGGTTCTAGTAGCCCACCTTTCGACTATGAGGTATTAAATCAGCGTGGCAACTTGCTCCCTCTTTGCTCCCTCGGGTATCTAATTCCGGAATTCTTAAAAACAAGGAAAGTATATATCGAGTTCTCTTTTATACCTATTCAGTTATGTTTTAATGGTGATTAAAATATGACAAATTTTTTAATTACATTTCATATAAGAAAACACGCAAAACAATGAAACAAAAATAACTACGGCAGATAATTACCTTCAGGTATCTAATTCCGACCAATCAGCACCTCAGTAGGATATGACGTCATACAAGAATGGTGGTGAAGGCCGTTTGCAGTCCCGGCCGGTAGGTCACGTGACCGCCGGGCGCCTCGGGTCACGCGGCGGTCGGGAGTCGGACGCGGGGCGTGGTCGCGGGCGGACGCGCGGGGCATCATGCTTTGCTTTGCTTGCTTTGTCAACTTCATATAACTTACTATCGCATTCGTGTGAAAGCCAAACACTGCTCAGTGCCCTTAGAAATTGAGTTTTGGAAAGCTTAAGTCCCTATAGCTCCTCAGGTCGGCAACAGTTGAAGCCTCATCTGAACCCATGTGAAAAAACGAGGGTAAGGAACCTTGTGTTGCTTTTTCTTTTACCGTCATAATTGTCTCAAACCATCACAATTTTGAGTTGCCACATTGTCTGCTTCACTACATTCGTGTAAAACTTGGGTGAAGGCTGGTGGCTCAAAGAAAGGTGAAGATATTTCTTTAAGTGCCTAATCCGTGAAATTGAAATATCCCGGCTTTACAAATCTACACTTTTCATTTTCTCCACGATACATTTTTTAAAATTGTTTAAATTTTATCTACATTTGTTAAAATCGGGGCTTTGGTTTTGTGTAAACTAGATCATAAAGTTTACTATAGTTTTGTGTAACCTGATGGCTGAAGAAAATAGTAATTTTGCTAAAATGATGTGCGGAAATTTGTTGCTTTCCAAATCAAATTACTCATACCTATATTTCATTCAAAATTAGGAGGCATTATTACTGTTTTTTCTTGTAACATGAACTGAGTTTGGGTACGGTGCTCCGGAAACGTTGTGGAACTTTAAGCTAGCTAGAGCAGTTTCCATAAAAATTGTTTAGATAGTTGACATGGCTTGTTGACAACTCTTTTGCTGTTTCTAAAAAAGTGGAAAAAATATTTCCTGCATTAAGCACACAAGGCATGTTATTCTCATAAGCTATCGAATGTGTGTGTGTTTTTTTTAAGCTGTTTTTTTTTTAAGCTTTTAAGCTGTAACTTCAGTTACTTCACTTTAGAACATATTGCCCAGAATGCGTCACTGATCATGAGCTGGTATATCATATCATATGTAGCAAATACATAAATGAGAATAGTGTGTCATGAATTTTTGTGCATGCTTCTGGATCATCTGTAATTACATCAAAGGCTCGGCTCAAGAGTGTCCTGCCGACCAGCTTATGCCCAACCCTTTCTGTCCGCAGAACGTCGCCTGCGACTCCCGCACGCCGTTTGCCCCGGCCGTCCGTACTGGTCTTCGCGCTGCGAGCCGCGCTGGAGTTCGCGGCGGCGTCGTGGAGCTCCCATCGGGACGGCGTGTGATGCCCGCGTCGAGCTTATAAGCCGTGAGCTTCGATTGGCGGCTCACGCGGTCACCAGCTGTATGTACAGCCTCGGCCCCGACGACCCCGCTAATGGCCGAGACCGGCATACCCCCGGCATGGGTCCGCTGTCCGGCGCAGCGCTGGCCGCCCGCATGCTATGCTACTTTTGGCTGTATCGCTGCCCAGCGGGAGCGCGCTCCACGCTGCGGAAGAGGTACACGTTGCGACCCGACTGAGGACTGCAACCGGATGGTGACACGTCGGCCTCTGCGCCCTGGCCGGGGCAGGCGTGACCGACGTCACAGTGGAGGAACGCCCAAACAAGACCAGCCCACCGTCGGAGCAGCATGGAAATATCATGTTCTGCCTGGACGTCGGACCCGGCGGCGGCGCAGTGCACCTGCACACGTGCGGAGAGGGGCGCTGGAGGCTACTCTGGAGCTTCTGCCATTCCGCGGCGCGACTGCTGGCAAAACGGCGGCGATTGAGGCGGTTGGGAACAGCTGCAGCAATGGTGATTGGCGGTGATGGCGACATGGCGGTTTGGGACTTCATCTCAGCGCGGCCGCCGCCCAGGCGCCGCTGCGCCCGGCTGCTCAGCCACCTACCGGATGGCGGGGTGGCCCTTACGGCCCTCACGCCCGTTCGGTCTGCGGCCACGTTGTGGGGTGGCGGTCGCGGGGTTAGCGGCGTTGGACTTCGTCCTTTATCCAGACTGCACCGCACCATCTGAACGGATGGATCTGCCAAGAAAGATGACATCCAAGGCGGCTATGAGGCGATCACAAAGCTTCACCAAGAGCTTCTCCTTCATGGGGCCGGCCGGCCGTTAAGTCGCAACACCGGCTGCCGAGTGCCAACAGCTGCGTGCGCTGGCGCCGACGCGTTGTGGGCCGCGCTGCTGACGCCCAAGCTGCGATATCAACCATCTATGAATAAGTGGCAGCGGTGGCGGCTTGTCAGTTGTTAACGTGCCTTAACCCTATTCCTGGCGGGCTCCGCCGGGACAAGAAACTGGCGGGGGGGGCCGATTCGGCCCCCCCCTGAGATCTCGAGAACGAAGCAAGATAGCGACAAGCGGTAAACGGCATCGGATACGCACGGCCAAGATCTACAATTTTTACTAAGGTCATTTTCAGGTCAGGTCAAAGATGACGTCACAGGGGTCGAAAAAGTCAAAATGGCGGCGCTAGATATGGAGAGAGTTTTTCTCGAATAACTTTCGAATTAGTCAAGATAGGAACA